ATTAGATCCGACTCGTAATACTGAGGGTTCATGTCGATTCGTTTACACCTCCATGTCCCCTCGTGGTCTCGCTGGACCGGATCAATAGTGAGATAGAACTCATTGTTCGACGAGTCCCCAGTTATACTGCATTCATCGCAACTCCCAGGAACAATATACGCGTTAGACGAGACCTGTCTGTAGGTCGGTGCCTCTTGAGTCCACTTTGTACTAAAAGGTGACGTTTCTTCAAACGAACACTTGATCGTACAGCTCTCCCCGACCACTGTATATACCTCGGTGTCAGGGATCTCTCTCCAGGTGATGCCTTCACTAACTAAAAATAAAAATCTGATTTACTTTTTGGTGGTCGGCACATGTAATGCACACTCTTCACTTATATCTAAATATGCGTGGAACCAGTCTGAGTATTTACCAGCCAACAATGGGTGCATACTGTTCGCTGTAGTGTGCTTGACTGATAATTGTTTTTACCTTCAGTTCCTAGTACGACGTAACTATTAGCCGTCTTGTTACAAGGTAGTCGTATTTATAATGTTGAGTTAACACCCAAAAAAGAGGCCGTAACTGCAGTCCTACCTTGTGCGCAACGAATAACCCAACTGCACAACGCTCAATGGGGTAAGACTGTGGGACACAAAGGTCAATACTTTCAACAATAACAATGCCTAAGTACCTACCTACCTTGGTAAGATAGAATCACAACTAATGTACATGTGCTAAACAATCTAGGCATGTCTTACACAGTGTACGTTATGTAATATACGTGTCCCGATTTGTTAAACAACCCTGTCACTGACACTGGAAATACAACAATTGTACTTTTCCGGGTTCATGACCCCATTCATATGTAAGTGTTATTGTCGTTTGTCACGACATGTGTTGAAGGTGTGCAGCGAAAGGTAATGTAAAACGATGGACTGGAATTACGAATATTCAGGTATCAACAAAGGTAAAACGAGTAAAAAAATATCTGTGATTCAGACATTCTCTAAAGTTACTGAGTATGCTAATATAACAACATATACATCATCTGGAAACTAAGGGATTACAAGACGGCCAATTTCGTTATTGTGCTTAGGAAAGTCTGTTGTCGATAGTCTGTAATTATTCGTGGCTAAAAAAATCAGATAAAATACCCGAGACCCTATCATCTAGCCTTACAGCGCTACGAACGTTATTTGGCGTGACTGAAAGCGTCAGATAGTGTATAGGTTGCTATAGTAACATGCTCAGTAACTTGAAGAGAATTCCAGAAAAACAGATACATTATTAATTCTTTTTCTCACCTGCTGCTTCCTCAAGCAAATGCATACATTTTTTTCCAATCAATATTCGAAATGAGAACTGTATCCGTCAGCCTCCGTTTGCTTCACCGACTTTCACAGTGGAGTTGGCTAAAGTAAACTGTGTATTGCCTCATGTGCAAACTTACAGCAAATACTAGCTATTCTAGTTTATTAACCAGACATATTGACTCTAACACTCTGTAGTGTGAAGTGGGAGACGACATTTGATCTATCCTGTTGTGGTGGCGTATATGAATAGTTCATCAGCATTTTTTGTAAAAAACAATATGCATTCTGAAGATTTGGCTACCTTAATTTAAAAACATTTATTCTTGTAAAAATACAAAAATGAACAAATGTTATGCAAAATCGCAATCACTGTTATGTTACCCATGTTTTATTCTACACTTTTATAAAATGTGGTGTCCCTTTTAATTTATTCACGGTACTCATTTGAATCTTTAAGTTACGGTGTATTTACTTAGCAATCACGTGACCTCGTGAAGGTTGCATCTAACGTAAGATCTATATTTAATAAATGTGAATTAAGTGTTTTCATTGAATGTATGGTTTGGTACGGTTTAATGCAATTCTTCTATGAAAATAATTAGTGTGACAGAGAAGCATAGAAATCCAAACAACCTAAAACAGCTTGTTAATTAGAGACAGAATGTGGGAATGGTTAATCCTTAGAAACATAGAAAAAGAAAACGAAAAATAGGTTTTCCCGTTATCTTCTCGCTCACATAGTCATCTCTTTGTATGACAAAACAAATGATGCCATTGATTTATTCAAGCAGGCTGAATATGCAAATAATCTCGAATGGGTACTGAACCCTGATTCGATAATCAGTAATGTATAAGTATGTGGGCCTTGGATGCACTTTATTAACTGGCAGGTCTTTTTTAAAGGGTAAAACATTTTTTTTGTATTAGTTTCTAGGTATGTTCCAAAGATTTGTTTTAGTAATCAATCAGTTGGTCTAGTGAGAGAAAGTCTATCAATAAGTTTTTGTTTGTTTAGAAATCGATTACTTCTGGTGAGCTAGTGCGCCACCACATCTTAAACATGACATTTCTTTTGTTTTAGTCTTATGCGTTTGCCGCTAGCCTGCATGTTACATACAGTCTGAAACATTTGTCACACATAATTTGCATAATAATGAAAGACATTTAAAAACATTTGGGATTGTTCTTATATTTATATTTGATGGGTGACATAACAGTGATATTGTTATGCTTGCAGTATTTTTTTTAATGCAAGGTCTTTAATATTGTAATAGTTTGATAAATGTGTAAGGTTTGGTATGAATTTGGTCGATTTCCCAACTCATTAGAGGAAAACAAATTCTTATACTAACATAACCATTCTTTTAATATGTACAAATATATAAGATGTCGGAAAAAATGGATATGATTTCCGGCAGACTGTTATGCAACAATATAAATCC